AAAAAAAAAAAAAAAAAAGAAAGCCCTATTATCAGCTTTGCCATGCAACAATCACACCAGTGAATCCAGAATATCAGTCGCTTTTGGTACTGAAATGTAAATATAAGTTGAAATAGAAATTTCCTGTGTATAAAACATATTTTTTACCCTGTCTTGTTTCCAAGCCCTCTAATATGCAGGTATTTATATATCTGGGTCTTTGGGAAACTGCATATTTTGCATGCATGTTAGAATTATACCTCTCCTGGAGAACATTGTTGTAGCTCTCACTGAAAGCATTGCTTCTGAACCTATTGGGATATGGAGTTCTCCAAGAAGTTGATGACACTCAGGGACCCTGGTCTGCCATGCTGCACTGTGGGAACTTCTGTGTATAGTTACAACATCTCTAGGGAGTTTGGGGTCCAGTTCTAGTTAACAAGCCCTGCATTCGAGCTTTCTCTGTGCTCTGGTCCTTGGTCAGCCGGTACATGGGTCACGGAGAGGTCTGCAACACAAAACTCGATGACTGATCATTCCCAGCAACTGTACGTGGCATATATCTTAACCACCTCTTCCCAGTCCACCTGCTGGCAGAACTCCAATAACTGATCCTTGCTGCTGTCACTTGTAGGAGCATAAGAACTGTGGAGAGATGAGCGAAATAGAAGCCAAGGTCAAGTATGTGAAACTCGCCCGATCCCTCCGGACGTACGGTGTGTCCTTTTTCCTGGTGAAGGTAAGTGGGCAGGGTGCAGAGGGGGTTTGCCTCTACCACCTCCGCTATTAAAGTATCTGCTATCAGGCTGGGTTTGTTGTCCTTAGACCCCTAGTATTTGCAGATGAAGCAGCTGGCCAGTGGTGACCAGTTTAGCCATGGGACAGACATGAAGTGTGTGAGCTCTAAGGCTGGTGAGGGAGCCTGGCCGCCCACAGGCCTCCGGGCACTTGTGTCTTGCCTTGGCACACTGTTGATGGTACAATGTCACCGAAGGGGCACGTTTATGTCTGCTTGTGAACACTCTCCTCTGGAAGTGTTTGACTTTAAGATTACCAAGAACACCCTGGACTATGTGCAAGCTGTTGATCACTGCATACCGAATTGATGTGGTGAACGCGGCACTTACTTTGTATAATTGACCTGAGCTGGGCGATTTTTTGTGGCCGTCAGATCTCTTTTCATGGGAATTGTGTGCCTTCCTACTAGAAGGAAAAAGGTGGGTCTTTGAAATTCAAGACTGAGGCCCTTGATGGGTGTGTTCCTAGGTGGACTGGAAAGTACTCTCATTAGCTTCTTTCCCCCTTGGTCCATCCTGACCTCACATACTCTATTTTAGTCATCTCACTAATAGGTTTCATTGATTTCCACTTGTTTTGCTGTGATTCTTGGCTTCCTGCCTTTTGCCCTTGGCCCTGGAGAAAACTCCACCCTGTGGTGGGGTTTCTCATGTTGCTTTACACAGAGGGGAGTATTACCCACTGAGCTGCAGCTGCTTTCAGGGACAGAAGTCCCAAGGCCAGAGTCAGAGTGATTTAAGGAGGTTGCTCTCCCCACAGCTCAAGAGAACTGGAGAAGAAGAAAGTTATACTGTCCTCTAGGATGTTTGGGGATAGAGATGCTTTTCTTGACTCAACTCCCCACTGGAGGAAGCTGCCTCATTTGGGCTGAGAAGAAACAAGGATGTTACACTGAAAAGAAAGTGATCTGCTTCATGCTGAGGAGTTCCTTAAACTGAACAGCTCTCGGTTTTACACCCGAAAATGCCAGAGCCTTTGCAAATGATGAATGCATAGGTGAATCACTGTGTTTTTCAGAAAAACAATTTAGAAGCTGAATTTTTTATATTTAGTGTGAGTGTGTAACTATCCATGAAGTTTTGAATGGGGCTGACACCTTGTCGGTAAAAATGACTCCATCCCCCAAGACAGCAACAGGAACATAGAGTAAACAGTTACATGCCAAGGATATCTTACTCAAACCTGTCAGCAGCCCCCTGGAAGAACTACCATAACTTTCTTTTTACAAATGAGAAAAAGAGGCCCCGAAAGATCAAATGAGTTAGCTGGGGCCCAAGGCTAATACCTGGAGGAGGCAGGACTTGAATTGAGGTATCTCTGATTTCAAAGACCTTATTCCCTGCCTTTGCACTCTGCTGCTTGGCTGAGGTGAGCCCGTTGGAACTGTAGTCACCTGCTCTCATCACCCTAGCTCTTACATCATCACCATGAACAGATGGCAAGGTCTTCTTGTTATAGAAGAAAAAGCTGCTTTTCATGGATGATTCTGAAGAACAGTAGATGACAGCTGAGTCCCAGTACCTAAGAGGTTAAACAGGTTCTCGGCATGTCTGATGCTTTGGCGTCGGTTTCCATGTTCTTGAGTTTTTCTGTAGTCCTTTATGTGTAAAATTCACCTCTTGCGTTCGTATCGTTTTCCATTAATACCATCACACTTGATACAGTCAGTTCCAGTGATGTGCATGTAGCTCAGGAAATTTAGGAAAATACGTAGCACACGGCAAACTACACGTAATAATTAGGAAGGGCACTTGAGCAGCAGTTCCAGAAAAAATAAAATGTTCCCCAAGGATAATTTAGGGCCTGAGAAAAATATGCTTATGGTAGTAGAATAATTAGAGACTGAGCACAGATCTTGTTATTGCAAGGTCTTGCAGATTTACACAAAGAAAAACTTATTTTACAAAAGCTTTTAAGGCAAAATAGGAAAATAACGGAAATTGCCTTTCTCCCTCTCTCTCTCTTCTCCTTTTCTTCTTCCTTTCTTGTCTTTGTTATTTTTTTTTAAATTAACATCCCTTTGAAGAAAGGCCAGGATCAATTTTCATATGCATGTTAGGTATTCAAATTTTGGTTTTCTTTAGTTTTAATTTTGTGACTTGATCAAAGTGAGCAACCTGCCCACTTTAATATTTTGCCCAGTGGTCCTATTTGTACACATTTAAAAATGTTTTCAGAATATTTCTTTTTATAAATGTTTATTTATTTTGAGAAAGTGAGCAAGCCTGAGCAAGGTAGGAACAGAGAGAGAGAGAAAGATAGGGAATCCCAAGTAGGCCCCATACTCTGTCAGCATAGAGCTGGATGCAGAGCTTGATCTCACAAACTGTGAGATCATGACCTGAGCCAAAACCAAGAGTCAGATGCTTAACCAGCTGAGTCGCACAGATGCCCCTAAAATTGATCCTAATAAATAGTTTGCATGACCTCAGTTTACCCTATTTTAAAATTAGTACAGCTGAGGAGTAATTTCATATTATGAATTATGAACCTTAATCAGATCAATAGGTCAAATCAGATGGCCTCATATACAGTGAAATATCTACAAAAGAAATACAGAAAACAGTCCCATTTACAATAGCATCAGAAACAATAAATTACTTAGGAATAAATTTAGTCAAGAAAGTCAAAGATCTACACACTGAAAACTTTAAGGCACTGGTAAAAGAAATTTGAAAATGACACAAATGAAAGATGTCCCAGGTTCATGGATTAGAACAGTTAATATTATTATTTTTTTAAACATTTATTTACTATTGAGAGACAGAGACAGAGCATGAGCATGGGAGGGACAGAGAGAGGGAGACACAAAATCCAAAGCAGGCTCCAGGCTCTGAGCTGTCAGCACAGAGCCTGAAGCAGGGCTCAAACTCACAAACCAAGAGATCATGACCTGAGCCAAAGTCAGATGCTTAATCGACTAAGCCACCCAGGCGCCCCTAGAACAGTTAATATTATTAAATCAACTATTCACTTAGCATAATTTCAGCCTACAGGTTTGTGTACATGTTATAACAATATACACAGTTATTTTAACTTTTAGAGTCATTTTTAAAATCAGTAAGTTGGTCAAGTAAATGTACAAACGTATGTCAATGTAATGAATTCATATGTGCGTGTGTATAGATAAGCACAATCATTTAAGACATAGGATGAAAAGAGGTCCCACATAGAATAGTGCGTGCGTGCACGCACACACGCACACACATTGTATGGCTAAGGGATAGTAAGTTTTTTAAAAGTATAAATAACATAACAGATTTCTTTAGGACCCCAACCTAAACATGCTATTAATTGTGAAAGAGTTGCATTGGCATAATTTAGGAAGTTAAAAATGAGTGAACAGCTTCTCAATCTTTATTTATATAGGCTATTAGAAATGTAAATAAGTCAATGAAATTACAATTTACGAAACATTTTTTTTTTAATTTTTTTTTTCAACTTTTTTTTTATTTATTTTTGGGACAGAGAGAGGCAGAGCATGAACAGGGGAGGGGCAGAGAGAGAGGGAGACACAGAATCGGAAGCAGGCTCCAGGCTCCGAGCCATCAGCCCAGAGCCTGACGCGGGGCTCGAACTCACGGACCGCGAGATCGTGACCTGGCTGAAGTCGGACGCTTAACCGACTGCGCCACCCAGGCGCCCCCGAAACATTTTAATATTGATAGTGAACACAATCATAACCTTAAGATTAATCATAGATATTCTCAGAGTGGTTAGATATGTTTATAGGTGCTTCTATCATGTTTTCGTCCATATCCATAAACATGTTGTCCTAATATTCAGAGCATTATATTTTGTTGTTATAAAAGAAAGTGCCTGGGTGTTGGGAGTCAGGAAGATTGGTCTGAAGTCCAGGAAAGCAGCATACATCTATGTGGGAAACAGCAGAAACTCGTATGACTTTGAGAGCCCTCCATAAGCCCCCTCAGCCTCAATTTCTTTCATCTGAAAACTTGTGTTCATGGCTTGTAGAGTGTAGTGCCTGGAAAGTAAGGATATTTGATAAATTTTAGATTATCCCAGCCCCTTAACTCTGTCCACATCTTCCTTATCCCTGGCTCCTGAATCTTTCAACTTCTAACAGGCTTTTAGCATCCATGATGTAGAGCAAGAGTTGAAGTTTTCCAGTAAAGGGCCAAATAGTTCATCTCAGGCTTTGCAGGCCATACTATTCATCTGTGCCCATGTGGCCTGAAAGCAGCCATAGACAATACCTAAATGAATGAACTTGGTTAGATGCCTGTAGAGCTTTACTTATAGGCTCTGAAATTTGAATTTCATATAATTTTTACATGTCATATAGTATTGTTCCTCTTGTGATTTTTTTTCAACTGCTTAAAAATGGAAAATTCACGCTTAGCTCTTAGGTCATAAAAAAGCAGGCAAAAAGCGGGTGTCAGCACCGGCTGAGTTTGCTGACTCTGATGTAGAGAATGTCCATAAGCCATATAATGAGTCCATAGGGAACAGCTTTATGTGGCAGTATTCTCAGTGGCTAAGAACATATGCTTTGAAAAGAAAGATCTAGATTTGGATTCTGGTTTTGCCACTTAGTTTTACCTTAGGTAAGTTACTTTACCTTCTATCTCTACGCCTGTTGGCTTACCTGTAAAATTGTGACATTTTATGAAGTTTAAATGAGATGATATATATTAAAAAAATGAGATTTCCATGAACGGAAGCTATAAATGTCTACAGGCTTCCTCTTTCATTGGCTCCTTTTGCATTTTATCTTGATCTGCTAATCAAAACCCCATGAGCAAGGATAAGGCCTTTCCCATGAACTGCAAAGGATCTTGTTTTATTCCAAGAAATTACTGTGGAAACCTGTCTCATTTATAAATTTGTCTTGAATTTTCCCTGTGGCCACAACCAGAGCCTTGAGGTGAGATACCTGGGGACTGACCCTCTTCTCCCCTTAACTGTAAAAACATCACAGAGGGGCATTTGGAGCCTCTCAGGATCATGAATTAAGTCGAGATAGATTGCCAGCTGCTAGAGAAAAAATGGCCAGTGAACAGGATCTTTAACACTGTTTTGCTTTTGAACAGCCATCCCTTTCTTCTATGTCCCTAAAAGAAATATGTGTGCTGATAGCAGAGCATATAAGCCAGCACTTTGGAACCAAGCCAAGGTAGAATTTTCGTGAGCACAGTTGGATCACAGGTTTAGGCCACATCCAAATCAGGGGCCTAGAGCCAATGCATGCCAAAAGCTTAACCCTCTTGGATCCCCTCACACATTTCTGAATCTCCCATGTAAAGCACAGGTGATGTGACAATCAGCCAATCGCCACACCAATGGGAAGAGTCAGAAGAGCAGGCTTGACCACAACCAGCCGCCAGGGCTGAGGCCACAGTCCTGGTTGAGATGCGCCAGAAAGAGGAAGGGTGGGGCTTGTTAATGAATCCTGCCCCTTCTTGGTAGAATGCGGACTTTCTCCTGCCTCTAAGTTATGCAAGCCCAAGACATCTTCAAAACAAAATCAACCTAATGAGGACCACCTGGAGAGAAGTTTCTACAGAAGTGCAGCTGTAGTCCCTGTGTGTGTCTGTGCATGAGAGACCGGTCTTTACTGGGGCCTGCCCGGCCTGTTTGCTTCTGGAGATGAAAGGATGCTGGTCTGTGTAGCCGAAGGTTGGAAAGGCCAGGTGTAGGGTGGGCTGAGATTGGGAGATACAGGGAGGAAGAAGGCGCCTCTCCTAACCTGGAGGCTCTACCGCTGTGGGTCTAAGGCAGGACTTCATAGAAGAACCAATGTGGGTAGCTCTGAGCTGAGTGCTTCTCGATTTTAACTTTCTCCAGCTGCTGTGCATTTTGTGGGCAGGCCCTGAAGCAATTTTATCCTTGACAGTGGTCTCTGGTGCTGGGTTTCAGCATTTTCTGAGTTTCTTCTATCCCCTTCCCCCTAATCATGATCTTCTGACGGAATGCCCACTCTACGTTGTTTGCTTGTTCACTATGATTTCCTGTCCTGTCCAGAGTGAGCTCCTCAAGGGTCAGGGTAATCTGTCACAATTCTGTATTCCCTCACCCCAGAGCCCCTCGTGGGGAGGTGCAGATGGAAAAGGCTGAAAGCAACAGCTGCAAACCATATTTTATTTCATCTCCTCTTCCTGGTCCCAGCGGCTGGGCTCGTGCCAACCCTATGTGACTCACTGCCTAGAACTTCTTCACCTAAATCTCAATGTGGCTCCTGAAGCCAGATTAGACTAGCTGGCATCGCCCACCCTGCATGGATTTCACCCCTTTGGGAACCAGCCTCTTCTTACAAAGAATCTGACTCTTCTCAGGGTTCATTTCTTAAGCACCGAGGGCTTCTTCCCCTGCCTTATTCCCTTTCTCAGACACCCACACAGATTCCCAATCTTATTGTCTTCTCCTCCTGGGAGGAAGCTGGAGCTGTGCATTGACCTTCACTGTCAGATGGCTTATGAACTACCAGTGGGGGCTGCAGCCGGGAGGGGTGGGGGGGTGGATTTTTGTCTTTTCTCTGATTTCACCAGAATACAGTACACTGTTGTAGACAGACCACTTTGGAAGTCAGAGACAGTTTTGAGCTACTCAAATTTGTGTTCAAATCATGGCTTTACTGCTCACTACTATTTGCCTTGGACAAGTGGCTGGTCTCTTCATTTGCAAAATGAGGAGGATGATCCCAACGTTTGAGGGTTGCCCTGAAAATTAATGGATAATATTAACTGCCTAGCACATGTCTATTATTTTAAAATTGCCTATCCCTTTGTATGCATACAGAATTGGTGTGTGCTAATTTGTAAGTGTATTCCTCCAAGAATAATGATTTAGGCGTTGCTAGGTTTCAGCAAATATTTGGGAAGTTGTTTTTTTCTTTTCCCTGATAACAATAGAAATAAATGTGAAATTATTTCTTAAGGGAAGTTTTAAGTGAATCGATTTTAAATGAAATTTGAAGAATAAGGAAAAAAGCACAAGAAAATTAATACAAATCATTTGAGATGATCATCGTGACCATTTTATCATGTAATGAAATTTTTATTTTTAAATTTTTTTGAATTGTATTTTAAAAATTTGTTTTTAAAATTTCATTTTATGTAAGATCATGCTTTTTACAAATGGTTTTTACTTTATACTCTCTTGCAAATTTATTGCCGTGAATCCAATTGTTTTCCAATCATAGTTTTTTAAACAATTTTATGTTTATTTCTTAGAGTGTGCAAGTGGGGGAGAGGGGCAAAGGGGGGTGGAGAGGGAGAGAAAGAGAGAGAATCCAGGCTCCAGACTCAGTATGGAGCCCAACTTAAGACTCAATCCCACGACCCTGGGATCCTGACCTGAGTCAAAATCAAGCGTCAGACATTCGACCAACTGAGCCTCCCAGGAACCCCTCCAATCATAGGATTGTTAATGGTTGTAGAATACTTGGCTACTTGACTATATATACCCTGATTTACTTAAGAAATCCCCTGTTGTTGAAATTTTTAGTTGTTTCTAGTTTTTCACTGTGATAAACTGTAGCTATGCTTGGTATTTCCTGTTTCAGGAAAAGATGAAAGGCAAGAACAAGCTTGTGCCTCGCTTGCTGGGCATCACTAAGGACTCGGTGATGCGCGTGGATGAGAAGACCAAGGAGGTGCTACAGGAGTGGCCGCTCACCACTGTCAAGCGCTGGGCAGCCTCACCCAAGAGCTTCACGCTGGTACAGACTGGCAACAGGGAGGACTAACATGGCCTTGGGTGGTTCTGTGGGGCAGGAGAGGGGATGCAAGCCCCTTGAGTTTCTCAGGGAGCAGTGTGGAGAGAGACAGAGGTGGAAATTCAGAGACAGCAGGGACTGGTCCAGTCTTCTAGGTTCCTGATGTTGTGTCTAAGCATGCCCTAAAAGGAAACTTTCTAATGCTCAGAGGCTGATCCAAGGTTCCCTCTTTATCTAGTTGTTTTGGAAGTTCCTGAGCATTGTGACATCTCACTGAGGTGTGTTTTCCCAACCTGCCTAGAAACAGCATGCTGTATAGTGGCAATGGCATAGACTTTGGGGTAGTATTCAAAAGCAGCTGGTCATTTCCCAGTTCTGTACCCTCGCCCGAGTCGCCTGTCCACTCTGAGACTTAATGTCATTAGCTTTAACATGGGGATCATAATACGTGTTTGACAGAGTTGCTAAGATAAAACAAGATGATGATGATAAAATTCTCAGTGTGAAATATGTGGAAAGTAGGGAGAATGTATTTGTTCCAGGCCTTCAGACCTTAATAGTTGTTAGCAGAGTATAGTTGTGTTGTTACCTTAACTATTGCTACATTGACATGTGAGAATTGATAGGGCTGTTATTTTGTAGGGCTAGTTGAGTAATAAGAGACATCAGTGTTGAAATTTGTCCATCTCCTTAGCACTCCTGAAGTGTACTATCCTCTAGCTCTAATGAAATATCAGCTTGAAATATCAGCTTGTATCTAGGTAAGATCTCACAATAGGCCATCAAAAAAAAAAAAAAAAGGTATAAGGAAGGGGTTTTACAGGGAGTCTTTAGTTATCTAGTTTGATCAGTGGTTCATAGACTCTTGCCACTTGGAAGGAATCTTCAGAAAATATACCTTCTTCTATCCTGTAGTCAGTAACAGCTGTTGGTACATGGCCTTTACAAAGGAGTATTCCTACTTAGAGAACTGTATCCTTGTCTTATGTGACAGGAAGTTGTGAATAACTTGTGAAACAGAAAAATCAAGAAATCTATATAACCATGTTATTTATAAGAAACTGCTGAAGGGGTTCAAGGTAGTTGCCTGTGGGAATGGGAGGGGTGGAGAGTAAAGATGGGAATGGCTAGGGCAGGGGCCCACTGTGTTTTATTATATACCTTTTAGTGCTATTGGTCCTTTAAAACTAGGTCCAATTCCCACTTTGTTGAAAACAAAAAGTTACTTTGAAGATAATAGTGATGAGTTGCAGTAACTACCTCAAGCACAAGAGAGAAAGAATATCATCAATGCCATTTATTAAAGTTGAATTAAAGTTTGTCACATGTGATATTTCTTTCCACTCTGAGCCTTAATTTAACTTCCAAATGTTGGAGATTCTCCTGTTGTCTTCCTGTTAATGATTTTTAGTTTGATTCTGTTTTGGTTGAAGGACATACTTTGTATAATGTCAAGTCTTAGAATTTTAAGATTTGTTTTCCATCCCAGGGTATGGTCCTTCTAGGAGATGTTCCCTGAGTACTTGACAGGAGTGTTCTGTAAATGTCAGTTAAACCTTGTTAGTTGATGGTGTTGTTCCACTCTTCGGTATCCCAATAAGAATTACAGATTTTTCTATTTCGTTTTTCATCTTTATCACTTTTTACTTCGTGTGTTTTGAAGCTCTCTTGGTGCCTGCACATTTGAGATCCCTCTGTCATGTTCATGGAGAGATTGTTTTATCATTATATTCTTCTGTTCCTATACATTTTTTTTTTAATTTTTTTTTTCAACGTTTATTTATTTCTGGGACAGAGAGAGACAGAGCATGAACGGGGGAGGGGCAGAGAGAGAGGGAGGCACAGAATCGGAAACAGGCTCCAGGCTCCGAGCCATCAGCCCAGAGCCCGACGCGGGGCTCGAACTCACGGACCGCGAGATCGTGACCTGGCTGAAGTCGGACGCTTAACCGACTGCGCCACCCAGGTGCCCCTGTTCCTATACATTTTTTGCTCTGAAGTCTGCTTTGTCTTGATAGAGCCATTCATGCTTTTTAAAATTAATGTTTGCATGATGTATCGTTTCACCCTTTTACTTTCAACCTACCTATATTGTATTTGAGATAAGTTTTTTGTAGAGTGCATAAAGTTGGATTGTGCTTTCTTTTAATCCACTTTGTCAATCTATTTTAATTGGCCTATTTAAACCATTTTTATTTCAGTCTAGTTATTGATATGTTAGGGCTTAATTCTACCATTTTATAGTACTTTTCTCTTTATGCTCCCTCTGCTTATTTTTCCTCTGTTTTCCTTCTTTTAGGTTACATAAACATTTTTTTAGAGCTCCATTTTTATTTCTTAATAATGTTTCAAACCTATATCTTTGCTTAGTGTTCTTAGTGATCTAGATATTACCATATACATAAGAAAATCAAAGCCTACAGGTGTGGATACTTACACTTTAGGAAAAGTCTAGAAACTTTACTTCTATTTTGGTCTCTTTACACTCTTCACTTTTTGAATATAACTCTTCAAAGAAATACTTCTGTATCCATTGAACACCACGTGAGATGGTATTAGACCTTCACTTCAACCATAGAATACAATTAAAGAAAACTCATGAGGTGAAGGAGAGGTTACTACATTTACTTCTATTTTTATCTATCCCACTGTTGTTTTCTTTTGAAACTTCCCAGCCTTCTTCTGTTACCAGTTTCTTTGTTTGAAGACCTTCCTTTAGTCATTTTTTAAAGATAAGTAGATTTACTCACAACAGATTCTCTTACTTTTCCTTCATCTGAGAATGTCCTTATTTCCCTTTGATTCATAAAGGATAATTTTGACAGGTATAGTATTTAATATTGACAGTTCTTTTAGCCCTTGAAAAATGTGCTGCTTCTTTTTGGCCTCCTTGCTTTCACAGTAGAAGTGGTCATTCAAGTTGGTGTTCATTAGTAGATAATGTGTCCCTTCCTTAAGTTGTTGGTATGGATTTATTAGGAGTTGTTCTATTTGGATTGTGATCAGCTTCTTGAGTTTGTAGCTGTATCTCTTTAATTTGGGAAATTTTTCAGCCATTATTTCTTTTAATACTTTTTTTCGTCCCACATTCTCTCACTGTGGGATTCTGATGATATGAGTGTTACATCTTTTGTTATTGCCCTCCCAGATCTCTGAAGGTCTGGTTTGTAAGTTGTTTGTTTGTTTGTTTGTTTGTTGGCTTTTGTTTAGTCTCTATTCTTTTTACTGTTGAAACTGACTAAATTTTATTAATCTTTTTGTCAAGTTTACTGACTATATGTTCTGTCATCTCCACAGTGTTTACCTTATCACGTGAGTTTTTCTGTTTTGGTTATTACATTTTTTCACTTTCATAATTTTTATATGGTTCTTCTCACTTGTTTCTTTCTTGAAACCTCCTTTTTGTATCAGGAGAATTTGTAATTGATCATCGAAACATTTTTTATGACGGTTGCTTTAAAATCTTTATCAGATAATTTTAATATCTGATTCAGCTCAGTATTGGCATCCATTGATGATCTTTTCTTACTCATATCATAGTTGCTTTGGTTCTTGATATGAGTAGTGATTTTTTTTAATTATAGCTGGACATGTTGGTTATTAAGTTAGACTCTTCATCTTCATTTTTGTTGTATCTGACAATCACCTTGTTTAGATTTAGTGTGTAGTGTTGTGGCCTCCTTTTGTGGGCTTTGCTTACAATGACAGCTTATTTTCTGAGCCCTGGCAGTGCTATTCTGGATTGCTTTGTTGTGACGCTACTGGGGTTCCTGCTCAAACCCTGATGGTGCTGTTTGGGAAAGTACTTCCTTGGAGCACCCGCTGTTGCTGTGTGGCCTTTGTTGGGGTAGGCAGAAGCCACAGGCCTGTCTCTGTGTCTCCCAGTGGGTGGAGGGCAGGAAGACAGAAGGCCTCACTGTGACTGCTGCTGCAAAAGGGCCAGACCACCTGCCTGTCTGGGTCGTGGAGCAGGGACTGGGATGCTGGGCTTCTCCTGCTCAGCAGCTGCTGAACACCAGCCCAGGTTTTGAAGCTGGGTTGAGACTCTCAGATAGATCTCTTTTGGGCTTTTCCTCTCCTGGTCCTTTGGCGGGAAAGAACAGATTTTTGAAATCCTGCCTGTTGGAGGTTCTGGGTTTCAGGCACCCATCCTTGAGGCTAATAGATTATAAAAGAAAGCCCAAGAACTCCCCAGACAGTGGTTTCTCAAGTACTGTGGTTTCTAGCCAGTCTACCTTTCCAGCTTTCAGAGCCCTTTTACTACTTGTTGAACAAATTATAGGGTGTTCATTTGTGTTTAGAAGCAAAGAGAAAGGAAAAGCGAGTCTATGTCATCTTGCTCCCAGACTGGACCTGTTTACCTTTAAAACTGCGGAAATATAACATAGTTCTATTTCTTCTAATGCTGTCTTTTCAGGATTTTGGGGAGTATCAAGAAAGCTACTATTCAGTACAAACCACTGAGGGAGAGCAAATATCCCAGCTGATTGCAGGCTACATCGACATCATCCTCAAAAAGGTATTTCATACTGATGCACATTGGAAAAGCTGCTGTTTTAGAACACTGAATGATGTTGCTCCCTGGGTGGGGAGAGTGGAACCTAATTTGAATTACTTGATTCACGAATTTAATATTAGTGTTCAGATCACTTGAGTGTGCAGTCCTTCGTCTCAAGATCCTACGAGAACTTGCATTTTAGCTGCAGTTCATATTTATGTTATTACTGCCAGGTAGTGAACAGTAGTGCCTCACTTAGCTGTTGAATGAGACTAGCTAACCCCTCAGCAGCTTCCTCTCTAGGTGGTTAGGTTATGCCTTCTAGCCTCTTTAGGAAACCCGCTGAGGGGCTTGGGTGGCGTGAGTCGGTTGTCCGACTCAGGTCACGATCTCAAGGGTCCTGAGTTCGAGTCTGGCCAGGGCTCTGGGCTGATGGGCTCAGAACCTGAGCCTGCTCTCGATTCTGTGTCTCCCTCTCTCTCTGCCCTCCCCGTTCATGCTCTGTCTCTCTCTGTCCCAAAAATAAATAAACGTTGAAAAAAAAAAAAAAAAAAAAAAATTAAAAAAAAGAAACCCAGGTTGAGGGGGCTTGGTGGCTCCAAGGTCAAAAGGACCGGGACTTCTCGCTCAGGGTCATGATCTCACAGTTTGTGAGTTCGAGCCCAGTCAGGCTCTGTGCTGGACAGCCTCGAGCCTGAGCCTGCTTCCGATTCTGGTCTCCCTCTCTCTGCCCCTCCCCCTCTCATGCTCTGACTCTCTGTCTCAGAAATAAATAAACATAAAAAAAATTAAAAAAAAAAAAAAAAGAAACCCAGGTTGAGGGTCTGAAAATGTTCTTGGTATTTTTCCTGAAAATTTTTTTTACCAATTTTAACGGGGTTATATGCCATAGTGGCATGCTATGATTGACCACGACTTCAAGATACAGCCCACTGAGATAACCAAGTTCTACCAGAACGTCAGTATATCTACTAGAACATCTCTATATTACGTTAAATAATGTATTTTGTATCGCTTTTGTTTTTGTTCACCTATCCCTTCGTCCAATAAAGGAATTTTGGGTAAACCTCAATATTGTTGCTTGTGTGTAGCTCCTTCTAAAAGGTATCTTCAGAGGTTCTGGTGTCAAAACCTGCTGACTTTGTGGGTTCTTGTTCTTGTTTTTGGTCTCGTTCTACCTCAGAAACAAAGCAAAGATAGATTTGGATTAGAGGGGGATGAGGAGTCGACTATGCTGGAAGAGTCTGTTTCCCCGAAGAAGTAAGTATTATTAAGAATGCTGGAGAACCCCCTTCTCCCTAAATGGGCAGGTTTCTTCGTGCCACCTCGGGGCTCAGTTACCATGAAGTCCGAAACATGGCGGAGATGACAGTGGATGAAATAGAGGAGTCTTCTGGAATTGTGGTCCCCAGACCATCATTTTCAGTGTTGAGTATGTCTTGTGGGAGGAGGCGGCTATGGATTTCAGGGAGACACTGAGCAAGATGTGGTCTTTAACTCCCATCTTTGGACACAGTGAGTATTTGTGAATCCTGTTCTGCAATAGCTCAGTGAAATCTGATAACCTGCGTCATTTTCATCAAAGGCTGGAGAGTGGGCCTCTGTTTAGTTCTGTGCCCGTGGGGCAGGGGTCTAGCCGATGGAGGAGTTACTGTTTATAGAACTCTTACTACGTGCCACATGTGTCATGAGGCAGCACAAATGGTTAAAAACATGGACTCTGGAGCCAGATTTAAGTGGGTTCCAATCTCAGGTCTCTTTTTTTCATGTGTGGCCTTGGGGACATTACAAATTTCTTCTGCCCCTTCATCTCAACTGTAAAATGAGAATAAGGATAGTACCACCTTGTAAGTCTTATTTGGATGATTCAGTTGTTAATAAAGCATGTAAAATGATGCCTGGCACATCATAAATATTTCCTGCTCTTATCATCATTTTCAATTCAGAATAGTCTCAATTTAACTTCATTTTATAGGTGAAGAACATGAGATGTATTAAAATTAAATAACATCTAATTAGTGATACTTTGGGGAAGTCTGAGCACTTGCTCCTGTTACATTACGTAGAGCATTATAATAATAAGCCATCTTGTCTACACTCTGTGTATCTAGCATGCTGTCTCCTTTGATCCCAATAACAACCCCCCGATGTAAGAGGTAGACCAGATATCATTGCCAGTTCATGACTGAAGAAACCAAAGCTCGCAGAAGTTACTTGAGATGCATACATGTGGCAGAGTCAGGAGTCAGTTCGGATCTTGTGATGTTTCTTCTAGGACACTGCCAGAAAGTTCTAGCATATTCAAGCATATCGAACTTGCTAAGTCATAATAATTGCATCTCTAACATTTCCACACTCCGTCACTTTATCCCAATTTGCTTCATAATTACCTTGAAGGTGATTTTCCTTGTGTCCCCTATTTTAGTACACAGTTTGGAACCAAACGTGATGTGATGCATTTCACACATTTGCTGCCCTCTTGAAGAACATCTTAAGTCCTTGGAATTACTAATGACTATAGATGGAAATCAGTAAGCTAGTGCTTTTTGCCAGGGTGAGTTGTTCCCTCAGAGGGCTGTGTTGCACTTGGACTTCTAAGAGCAGCTGAGTAACTGTATGAGCCTAGAGCACTGGGGTCTCTTCTGCCTGGGATTCCTGTAGCCCCTTCCCACTGCCTAGGGCATCACGGTGAGATTCGGTCACAGCAAAGAGGAGGAATGGCCCAGAGTGGTCCCCATCAGAAGAACTGCCACTTTTCCCTGCATCAGACATCAGCTGAGATCACAGACTGCAGATGACTTCCTACTGGAACCCCTATATCTACCCCCCTTGGTGCCAACCCTTCCACTGTTCCTCCATGGATGCCTGCTGTCTGATATCCTAGCATGGCTCATGAATTTTGCCCTGAACAATAAGGAATGATCGGTGATGGTGGGAAAACCCTAGAACAGAGGCCTGACTTCTTAGTGCAGCTGCTCACCCAGTCTGCCCCCTACAACCCCCCCCCACACACACACACACACTCCCCCAGACTCTCCTTTGCGGGTGTGCCCTCTGGGGAGCTGTGGCAGATATACCACCTTCATATGATCAAAGTCCTTTACTTCTCATTCTAAGTAAATAGCAACAAGTAAAAAGTTAATTTTTTTTTTAACTAGATATCCTAGGAATCTTCCCAGACTTTAGGTGAAGTCCTCTGGAGGAGATGCCAAAGTCTGTCATATCATCAGGGCTCCAAAGGTGTTTAAACACCTTCTGTGGTCAGTGGCCTTGGACCTGGGGAAGGAGAGATAAGCTGTGGGAGATTTTCTTTTAGTTCCTTTCTACACTTCCCCCTTCAACCAAGAAGACTAAATGACCTGTGTCTCCAGTGCTTAGAATAGAACCTGGCCCATGGTAGATATTTGTTGAATGAATGCTCTTTCAGGTAGGATTTACCAACTAATAGATCACTGTATCCTAAACTTTTTCTTAGACCTGGAACATCGTTGTTAGAGGAATATCTGTGTGTTGGTTTGGGCAGCCGGGGAGGGGAGCAGGGAGGGGCATGGAATTCTTTAAGAAGGACTAGTTGCATTATATCATGAATCCGTTGGGAATGGTTCTTTATAGTAATAATTATAAAAAGATGCAGGGTTCAGGGAGTCTGGGTGGCTCAGTGGGTTAAGCGTCTGTCTCTTGGTTTCAGCTCAGGTGATGATGTCACGGTTTGTGACTTCGAGCTCCACATCAGGCTCCATGCTGATGGTGTAGAGCCTGCCTGGGAATATCATTCTCTCTCTCTCTCTCTCTTCTTCCCCTCCTGCCCACTCTCAAAATAAATAAATAAACTTAAAAAAAAAAAAAAAAGATTCCGGGTTCTTCAGGGTATTTGAGTATCACTTCATTCACAGTCCTGTCTGTGCATGTCTCTTTTGAATTGACCTCCACAGCGTAACGCAGCAAACTGCTGTGGCACTTATGCTATCTTATCATTACACTCCCTGCGAGCAGCCACCTCCCAGTGACCAGACCCTTGTCCCCTGCAGGTCTACCATCTTGCAGCAGCAGTTCAATCGGACTGGAAAGGTGGAACACAGCTCCGTGGCACTGCCCGCCGTGATGCGCTCAGGCTCCAGTGGGCCCGAGACCTTCAACGTCGGCAGCATGCCCTCCCCGCAACAGCAGGTCATGGTTGGGCAGATGCACCGAGGCCACATGCCCCCGCTGGTGAGACTTCCCCCACGCTTGCCCTGCACGTCAGTGCGCCACCTCTGATGTGCGGGGGCGGGGGGGACACCAGCCCTGGCGATAGCTTGTGTGTGTCATCGTGTTCTCACTAACTCCCATCTGAGCCATGGCTCTTCAGCTGTGCCGTCCTGACGCCTGACTCCCTGGTGCTCCTGTTAAACCAGACGCTTCGGGGCACCTGGGGGGGCTCAGTCAGTGAAGCATCCAACTCTTGATTTCAGCTCAGGTCATGATGTCATGGTTCGTGAGATGGACTGGCATGGGGCTGTGCACTGATGGCCTGGAGCCTGCTGGGGATTCTCTCTCTCTCTCTGTCTCTCTCTCTCTCTCTCTCTCTCTCTCAAATAAATAGAAAGGAGGGAAGGAGGTGGGTTAGTAACTCCCCGATCACAGGTGTCCTCTGGGGCTGGAGAACAGCCATGACCTCTCCACATGACTGGTGATTCAGAGCTATAGAACCCTGGTTCCCTGCCTTCACAGCATCAAGCTGCTAACTAGCCCAGGTACCCCTTAGAAGGTCTTAGAAATAGACCAGGTCTGTAGTGATCCACACTTTGCCCTGAGTGAATTGTTGCTTCTTCTCCTGCTGCTGGTCTGGTCTGCCTTCTCAAGGAATCATGTGCTTCTGGGGAAGAACTTTTTAAGAGCTGAAAAGCCTATAAGCTCAGAAGAAATTTGACTCTGAAGAAGCACGTTGACTATGGGTTTTGGGTGGAATCTGTCCTTATTTACTAAGAATATTTCTGTGTGTAATGTGTGTTTCCTATGTTTGAGATCTTTTGTCCTCAGTACTCTGAGTAGGGTAGCTTCCCTGCAAGAATTCTTTCTGGGCTTTTTGTCACCTAATTAAGCTCCACACGCTCCTGATCATAACCTCTCTATTGCAAACACCCATATCAAGCATTCTGTTGATACAATCAGCCCCTTGCCTGAAATGGGACGCGGTTGGGGTTGTTGAGACCCACCGTGAGCCACTCTCTCTTGAGCCCAGAGTTCAGTTTGGCTTTGTTTTGTATAAAGGGTAGTGTCAGTTCCAGCAGCCAAGGTATGACTGCCCTGTGGTCATCTGCCTTTGCAGACCTCGGCCCAGCAGGCTCTCATGGGGACCATCAACACAAGCATGCACGCTGTCCAGCAGGCCCAGGATGACCTCAGTGAGCTGGATTCACTGCCACCCCTAGGCCAGGATATGGTAAGTATTATTCATGGTTGTCAGTTCCGTGTCTCTGCCCTGGCAAAAAAGCTGGGTGTTGCATTCTGTCTGCATTCACCTCCAATAAGGGGAAGTGGAAACCTAGGGTTTGTTTTTTTTTTGGTTTTTTGTTTTCACTATATTGAGGCTTTGTAGTGGGGTGGTACCCACAGGAAGAGAATCGTGGGGCCAAGAACTTGAACTCTGGAATCAAGTGATCTGGGCTCAAATCCCAGCTCCACTGCTAGTGTCTATGTGAATCCAGGCAACTAAGTCTCTCTAAGCCTCCGTTTTGTCATACATGCACGGGGTCCTTGTGAATACGTGGTAATCCCGTCGTGTGTGGCATTCTTAGCACACTACCTAACACACCGAGCTCAACAAGTATTAGCTGTTAGGTCAGTGCTTCTCAGACGTTAGCCTGCATCAGTCACCTGGAAAGGCTTGTTAAAACACATTGTTGAGCTCCTTGTCTTTTTTTTCTCACTCAGTAGGTCTGGGGAAGGGCCTGAGGCTTTGCATTTGCAACAAGTCCTCAGGTGCTCTGCTGCTATCTGAGGACTGTGCTTCCAGAACCACTGCCTTAGTGTTCAGCTTTTCAGTAGGGCGGGGTAAATAGCTGCCTTTCTGTAGGTGCTGCTGCACGAAATTCTCTGGCCTGTCCCTACTCAAATGGTGGCCCGTGGACCAGTGGCATTGGCAGTACGTAAGATCTCTTGAGAGGTGTGGAATCTGGGGCCTTATCCCAACCCTCTGAATCAGGAAACTCATGTTAGTGGAGGTCCCAGCTGTTTGATGTGCACATGAAAGTTGCTGAAGGACTAGCACTGCCATTCTCTGCCCTGCTTTGCATATTCCAGTTATCTGTAGGAGCTTAAAGTTGGTTCAAACTTTAGCTTTGAGGCTAACGGCTGAGGCCCAAATCAATCCATGTCATTGAGGGCGGGGCCTGCTTTTTACATCTCCCCAGGTGGTTCTAATGGGCAGTCATGACTGAAAACCACCGAGTTAGGACTGACAGGGCCACCTTAGCCCAGAGCCCAGAGCCAAGTGCAGTATTTAGCCTCACGTTGGCCAGCAAGCATAACTGCCTTCTAAGTCCTTCCTGCGCACTGTGTTTTCTCACTTGCATACTTGTATATCTGCAGGTGCAATTGTACTCAGTGTTTTGTCTCCCAAGTACCTGAAATCATTAAACATTTTGCAAGGGGAAACTCCAGAGTAAAAATACATAAGGCAGACACCCTGCCATATCCAGCACTATTGTGAGATAGTTTTAAAATATTTGGACTTGGGGCACCTGGGTGGTTCTGTCTCTTAAGCCTCTGACTTTGGTGCGGGTCATGATCTCACGGTTCGTGCTTTGGATCCTGTCTCCCTCGCTCTCTGCCCCTCCCATGCTGACACTCTCTCAAAACAACACAATTTTTTTTTTAATATAAAATATTTGGACTTAACATTGTTGCTTTACCAATTTTTAAAGAACTAGTATACAAAAAAATATTAGTGCTAGACATATCCTAAATCTCGATGAATATTTTGGGAATGTTTTGGGAAGCAAGTCAGCATCTGATGTTACCACAGGGTCATCCTTATGAATGTAAACGATCATTTATTGGCTAACCCCAGAAATGCCAGGAAATAGAGAATTTGCTATTTATAGCTTCCAGTGAACATAAAGTCGAAGATCTGGAAAGGTTTTTAAAGACCATTGAATTCCTACAGTAGAAGAAACAGGAGGCACAGGACATAGATGCTATTTGCCCAAGGTCATGTCTCTTGTTAGTGTTAGAGCTGGGTCTAGAATAGAGGTCTTAACCCACCCACCCCCAGGTCCTTCCAGGACAGGTTTTGCATCTACACCCCATTCATGTTGTTAATAAAAGACAAATTTTCTGCTGACAAAGAACACCCATGAGCTGAAATACCCTAAATCTCACCCTGCTCACTAAAAGTGTAGGTGGAAATTATCAACAATTGTTCGTGCTGATATGCAATATTTTCACGAGACATTAATTATTCTTATTTTTTACTGAATTTACCTAAATAAAACCATGTAGAATTTTTCTAAGATCCTAAAAGCTAAAGAGAAAGCAGTGGAAGAAACCTGGAGAACTCCCATGCCATCCAGCATCAGTGAATGAGCAAGAGGCCTGTGAAGGGCATGGCTGACTTCAGGGCCTCTTTGGTGCCGGCCCAGTAACCAGAGTATAGACAAAATCTTGGTATTGTTTTATAGCGTGACCTCTCTGGTGTCCTGGGCAATCCCATGCCTGTAGTGACTGTGTCATGTACTTGTCTGCTTTTGCAGGCGTCCCGGGTATGGGTTCAGAATAAAGTCGATGAATCCAAACACGAAATCCACTCCCAGGTCGATGCGATCACAGCTGGAACAGCTTCAGTAGTTAACCTCACTGCCGGTAAGTCTCTGAGGGCTTTGTGATGTGTTGTGGTTTGCTTCTTAAAAAAAGGATTCTTCTTTGATTGAAACAACAGATTTTCATTTAATGAGAAGCTGATCTATTTTTAGGCACACTGAGTGCTTCAGGCAGTTTTTCGCACTGACCCAGGAGAAAGGTGGGGAACATCTCATTCCTTTCCATAGATATCATGCATCCTTCGAAAAGCACTTACGTAGCTCTCCTCCTTATTCATCAGCATGATGGACGTGCCTCAAAGTGTATGGAGACTAGTGTCTCCCTTCTGGGGCTTACAGTCTAAAACTGGCTTTGGATGAATAGACCCATCACGTGTGCCTCCTTCTGTCTTGTGGCACAGCATGACTCCCACCTTGCGCTGTCAGGTGAGAGCCCAGAAATGTCTTGGCCTCATGATGCAGCATTTCAATGCTTCAGGAACAGAACTGACCGGCCTAAGCTGCTGACACGGACCTAACGGAAAGGGCCATGGGACGCCAAGACCTGGGGACTATGCCAGTGCTCGTGCTCAGTATTTCAGCTTAGGAGGCCTTGGGGCAAAAGATTTGGGAGGGGCAGCACCTCGGAGACAGGAAGCCATGTGTCTCCCTGTTTGCATCCAGCTTTGTGTCCGACTCCTGCACAGTGAGGGCTGATGCCATCGCCCATCTAGGCTCTCCTCACCCTTCACCACCCTCCCTTCTCTGTCCCAGGTGACCCTGCAGACACCGACTACACAGCAGTGGGATGTGCAATCACCACCATTTCTTCCAACCTGACGGAGATGTCCAAGGGCGTGAAGCTTTTGGCAGCCTTGATGGACGACGAAGTGGGCAGTGGGGAGGACTTGCTCAGAGCCGCGAGGACCCTCGCGGGGGCAGTGTCGGACTTGCTGAAAGCTGTGCAGCCTACTTCTGGAGAGGTGAGCTCCTGGGGCACACGGTCACCCAGGTTCTGGGTGGCAGGTGCCACCTTGAGTGCTACAGGGCTCTTGCTCCCTGAGCTGTTCCTTCCATCTTGATGGGGCATGTTACCAAACTGTGGGGCATAGAGTTGGTGAACTGGGTACGGAATCTGTAGTTCAACTTTTGGGATCGGTTGAGCTCTTAGTAGGAAATTTCCCTTTCCCCTCACCCCGGGGTACTTGATCAGATACAACTTCAGAAGCTAACACATATGGTCAATACACATTCAAAGGGGATAAAAATTTGTGTCCTAATTTCCATAAAGTGCCTATCACCTCCCTACCCACCGAACAAAACTCATTGATTGAACATTTCAAGTCTATCTACCTGTTGCTGGTTTATAAGACATCAGGCCCTTCCTTGCACAGATTGTACCAGGATATTTAGGTCTCCCATCTGGCGGACGGTCTGAGACTCTCTTGTAGGTGAGCCAATCCTGAGGGGTTAGCTGTCTGATGGCACTTTGGAGGAACCGCATTTTCTTTCCAACCAGTGTGTGCTCTTTGTTGTAGCCTCGACAGACAGTTTTGACTGCTGCTGGAAGCATCGGACAAGCCAGTGGGGATCTTCTGAGACAGATCGGAGAGAATGAGACTGATGAGCGATTCCAAGTAAGATATCTGCAACCCATAATTTTGGAAAGGAGTCTAAGCGATGGTCTAGACCCAAATGGGGAGAATGTGTGAAAAACCAGATCTTCAGTGGGCTGTCAAGAATAAGATTGAGATGGCTTACATTGGGGATGAGGTCACTGTTAATTTTTTTAAAGAAATTTTTAACTAAAAAACTCCTTTCACTTACGTATCCCGCATCATCACTAAGTAAAGCACTTACTTAGCTATTCTTGCTAGTCTGGATGCCGGGCGTTCATTAAACACAAAAGTGGAGGGAACAATGTCCTGAACTCCCTTGTGTCTACCATCCAACCTCTGTAATCATCGACTCATGGCCAGGCTTGTTTCATCTTCTGGGAGCGGTTTTTAAGTAAATGAGCCCAGAGTCCCCATGGGAATGAGAGTGTGGACTCCCATACACTGCACTCACAGGTAGCTTTGGTGCCCCCGCTCTTTGTATCCAAAGGTGGGTCTCTTGTCTGTGTCGTAGCCCAAACCAGCATGACGGGAAAGCCTTTTTTTTTTTTTTTTTTTTTTTTTTTTTTTTTTTTTTGATCACTCTTGTTCAATACCAAGGATATGTGCTGTTTGTCCTCTGGTGCACAGCTGTAGCCACTGTTGGCAGCTGGCTTGATGTGCTGCCAGCTCAGACTGGAGCTCAGCTTGTCTGCCTCTGTTTCCAGCCACCACAGATGAGGGGAGCTTCGGGCTACGATGAGCTGGGCTTCTCACATACTCGTGGGCACATGCCCTCCATGCCTTTCTCCTTCTCTGACGTCCTCATTTTGAGTAGTACATAACTCCATTCTACTGAAACCTAATGGTTCGAGCCCAGGTTCTCTGGAAGAGACCCTATTCCAAATCCCATGTCAGGTTTACTGTCAGGGAATTACACAGCATTCAGAGGAAAAAGATCATTCAGCTTTACAGTAGCGTTCAAGTTTCTTAATTCACGAGTGCCGATTCAGCTTGCCATTTCATCCGGAACTACCAAACTGCATCTACACAAGATGCATCAGTTACACTAAGACAGGGTTGTACATGTTGGGATACGTGGAACGTGTACCTGCATCCGTAGATGTAGCTGTCTACTACTTTGCACATAGTTGTGATGCTGGGACCATAGGACTCATTCATGTTCTATCTACAATGCAATAAGACAGCCAGTGCTTAAACACTGAAGTCATGCTGGAGGGTGAGACCCATAATGGGTGGTAGCAGTATTCTTGGAAGCCATTTCTAGGCTGGGATGGCCAGTAAGACTAACTTGAAAGAGAATTTACTCCAGACCACATAAATATATCCCACTAAATTCAAGCAAACACCCTATCCTGCCTTGGCCTTGGCTAAACCCCCCAACTGCGCTTGTCTTGGGCATTGATTGTTTTATTAGCACAGGTAATTCTTGGTAGGCAGGGACCTACTTAGGAATTGGGTATGAGATTCAGCTGTTGGTGTACTAGGCTTAATTATCTTGAGGTGGTCAACTTTCTTTCCTCAAAAATATTACTGCTTTCCCCAGAGTGTTTGGCAAGGTGGAGAAGCAAGTCACAGTTCTTCCTGAGATCTTTCATGCATCCTTGTATTGTTGAAGGCTTTCTCTCTTTTCTTTCTCTCTTTGGCAGACTGTTACACTGTCACGTATAAATGCCAACTCTGATCCCTGTCGTTTGTTTCTATTTAGAGGTGCTAGGAAAGCAGGTTCACGTTCACAGTAAGGTCCTGCAGACTTTCTTACCAGTGAAAGGCCTTACTTTACTGCTTTCCATTTCTGTAAGGTCTCTAGGCAAACATCAGTGTAGTAAGGTGATCCTGTAACCTCTTGGAGTTATGAGTAGCCCCTGGCTTTCTGACATTGGATTTCTTATGCACTATTTTTCTGATTCTTGAGATCTTATCTCAGAGCTTTTCTTGGGTTCTCAATGTACTGCATGTTCCCAGAGTTAACAAAGATTTATTTTACACGGGCTACATAATAGGGGTCTTGTTGAAAGGTTTGACAAAGGCCTTGTCAGCAACTGTAGCTGTAGTATCACGTTCTTTTTCTAACTGTATTTTTTTTGGACAAAATTAATAGGAAGAACAGGATTTCTTTAAATGAGTCTAACAAAGCCCTTTAGAACAATCGTGAGCCTACATGACCAAATCTTGGTCCCTGTGTGAAAAGACGAATTCATATCAAGCGAAAGAATACTGTGACCTACTTTGGAAAGATTTTTTTTTTTTAATCTTGTGAATAATTTGTGACATTCAAGTTGAGTGTGCACTGAGCATTGAAATAGGTGTTCAAGAACTGTAACTTGGGCCATGTTGGGAGCAATTTCCAAAAGTTATGTGGCCAACAAGTGCCAGTCAGATCCCAAAAGCATCTTCACTTTTTGGCACCTCAGACCTTGCTTTTTCCTTGGACATTCAACAAACCTTTTAAAAAAAAGAAAGATAAAGACTGAACTAAACTGTTCCTTTAAGACTGTTTGTTTTTGTCCATTTTAAAATCTGCATATGTGGTCATTTTATGGGTTTCTGATTTGCCTGGATAGCATGTAGTTTTTGCTCTGTGTAAAATTGTACAGGGTGAACACCCCTTTCAGCATATCTTCCTGTAAAATGTCTTCTTGTAAAGACTCTTTGGGTGCCCTTTGCATTCAGAATCAAAAGTGCTTTTCATTATCTGATGAATTAATAAAGACTACTGACCACATTTCCTCTGGGAGAAAGCCTGGACATGTTCGTTCAAAATAAAAATGGCTCATATATTTGGGATATGTTTGGGAAGGCATTTCCAAACCAAATAAACTACCTTCACTATTCAAAGAAAGGAAGCAAATTAAATGTAACAGTGATTATTCTTCAGGCCACACAGATGGGTGACAAATCTGGTGGGCTGAATCAAAGGATTCTCCACCCTGCAGACAGAGTGCCTTTTTGTTGAGTTGAAGCATGAACTGATACAGAAAGGCTCAAAGCTCCTTGCATCTTCAGTGAGGTCGTAGCTTATAGCTAGTTTATTTATGTAGGCTCCCTTTCCACTTTTCATAATAATTTAATCCCTGTCCAGAAGACTACGGAACCCTGAGAATAACTTACGTTCAGAGCACTCCTTGGCTCTTGAGCTGTAGGTAATGTCTGTGCATGTCCAACATTGCCCTCTGGAGGCAGAGATGTGGCTGAATTTTTGATAGTAGCTTGGATCTTTGTGCAAAATGGAAATCCAAATGATAAATTTTTGCGTGACAGCAGGGCATGATGACTTGGAGGCCATGAATTCTATCCTTCCTACAGTATGTTGTATTTATGGCATCTGGATAGATTTCCAGCTTTTCCTGATCTACTGCATCAATCACGTATTCAAGAGACTTAAGACTTTCGGTGTTGAAGTACATGAATGTGAATCAGTGGTTAAAATACAAACTCTCCCCTCAAATCAACCTATTCTAGATTTAAATCTTTGTTCCTTAATGCATAGGAGACTATGTAGCTAGGATGCAAGTCTCTTTCTCGAATTACATCTAAGGTAAGTTGACATTTCAGAAAAATAAATGGAAAGAATATTCTCATGAAGTACTGGAAAAAAAAAAAGTTCAAATGGAATATCAATAAAATGTTTCATCAGACACCGCATTTTATTTCTAGGCTGTGAAGGGTGATAAAAAAAAATAGTAAATGCCTGTTTTTTTGTTTTTTTAATTCTCTTTCTAAATAGGACGTTTTAATGAGTTTGGCCAAAGCTGTAGCCAATGCTGCCGCCATGTTGGTATTAAAGGCGAAGAATGTCGCCCAAGTAGCTGAAGACACGGTCCTACAGAACAGGGTGATTGCCGCTGCCACCCAATGTGCCCTTTCTACCTCTCAGCTGGTGGCGTGCGCCAAGGTAAGCCAACTGGCACCCCTGGCCCTTTTGTCAAAGTGTCACGTGCTCTCGTTTGCCCCCAGTCACTGGGGGAAAACAGGCAGAATTTGTTTAAACTGTCTGAGGCTTAGAGCTCGCTTAGGTGTTATCTCCAAGGTGACACGACCGGATTTTGGCAATAACTGCCCAATTGTGCTTTCATCCCAAGTTCTTTCCCCAAGTCCTCAGGCACTGGGACGTCTCGGTATCTCATTGCCATTTCTACTTGGAAACTGCCATGTGTCCCCCTTGAAATTCTCATTGTGTCCTGTTTACACCTGCACACCAAGGGTTCTCGCATTGTACAAGAAGGCAGTACAGTGTCACGAATGGGTTTGTAAATAACGTGCAGATCTGGGGGAGCCCTTTTGCACTGCACAGTGCAAGAGTGGCGGTAATCAGGATTGAGTTCATTGTTGTCGCTCACGATGTGCACACTCCGGGTGTTAAACTTCACCTTGTTCAGCATATCATCCCCAGTTTACGGAAGGGAAACTGAGGCCTCTAAGGCTTCGTAAGTAGCTTGCGGCCACAGAAATCATTAAGTGGCAGAACTGGGGTTATCTCAGGCCTGTCTGGTTTCACGTATCCTTTCGGCACCGTTGCGTGTTGATGCGTCAGAAGACGGGATGTGTCCATTTCTCAACTTGATGACCTATCGTATTCTATAGATCCGTGACTGGCTTAGCCCGCCATTTCCTATCCTCTGGTGGGATTTGCAGTGTCAGGCAGATGTGTTGATGGTATCGCTCCTACCTCCCTTGTACACTGTTAAAGCACCCACAGAAAAACGGACAGAATCCCCCTGTTCTTTAAAGTACCGCAAGGTACAGAGTTCCAAGTATCTCTGGAAAAGAAATACAATCCTGTTAGTCTTGTTATCCTAAGTCAGAGGACTCTACCTAGAGGTTCCTAAAAGGAGAAGCTATGCCATAAACACCAGAAATTTCTCTCTGTGGAAGTAGTTCGTACTATAGTTACATATCACCAGTGAAGATAACAATTGTCGGGCATCAAAAACCACCAAGATAGGGTGAAATTGTGAGGTAGAAGAAATCTCAGTGATGGTACACTTTAAACCCTGGTGCTCTGAGTAAGGACCCAAGGCCCCTAGCAGCAAGGGCCTCGGTGGAAATGCTAGTGCGGGGTGGGGACTGAGAGCTGACCCTCAGTGCCCAGGACCTGCTCCTGTCTCCCTCTAGGTGGTGAGCCCCACCATCAGCTCCCCCGTGTGCCAGGAGCAGCTGATCGAAGCAGGGAAGCTCGTGGACCGCTCGGTGGAGAACTGTGTCCGTGCCTGCCAGGCGGCCACCGACGACAGCGAGCTCCTGAAGCAGGTCAGCGCAGCGGCCAGCGTGGTCAGCCAGGCCCTGCACGATCTCCTGCAGCACGTACGACAGTTTGCCAGCCGAGGCGAGCCCATCGGCCGCTACGACCAGGCCACCGACACCATCATGTGTGTCACCGAGAGCATCTTCAGCTCCATGGGAGATGCTGGTGAGGGGCGATGCTTGGGTGGACGGGTCAGCTTGGGGTTCCCCGATGGTCATCATTGTAACAAGAAAGGTGACGGTCACCTGGCAAGGGCAAGGTGTCATGCGCTTCTGTCAGAGACTTCGTTACTGAGCCTGGGAGAAAGATGGAAGTCTCCCGGTTTGCCCATCCATAGCAGCCCTTAAAGAGTTAATTAGGCTTTTTAGAAAATTCTTAGCAAATTCCTTTTGGTCAAAAACCTCCATGTTGGATTTGGCCTGGTAAAGTCAAGGTAGCCACAGGAGGAGATAAGCCTGAAGCTTGGAAGGAAAAATGTATTCTGCTCACAAGTCCCAAAGAGAAAGCTACCACATGCCTGCAGGGTCACAGGGGTTTGGTCACAAGGGTTTGGTCAGGTTGCAGAAGACAGGAGTGAGGGGAGGAGCTTAAGCTCTATTCTTTTTTGGGATTTTCATTGGGAAGGCAGGGCAGGGGAAACCGCTTGGGGCTGCTTAGTTTGAAAATCTTTAGCAGGCTCTGTGCTCTACAGGCGATCCTCAGTTGCCTGGCATCGGGCCATAGGATGATTGAGGCCAGGGATATTGCCTCCAGGAGGGTACTGGCCAGATAGAGGTGATCTGGTTCTAAGCTGAGGTCAGTTTGCATATCAAAGGCGTGCTCCTGGCTGGACTTTGGCTATCTCTAAGAATTGGCTAGCCTTCAGAAGGACAGTGTCTCTAGCCAGCAAGGTTTCTTTAACATGTCAAACGTCAGGATGTACAAAAAATTTAAAAATATGTAGCTTTCAGTCCGTTAGTTGAAAGGTAAGTCTCCTGAGATCCAGCCCATCCCTATCCCATCTAAATCTCCAGATTTGGCAACTCTTTCTGTTTTACGTTTCCAGAAATTTTCAATCTTCCTACAGTCACATATTTGTGTGTGTTTGCACGCATGTGCGCGTAGCGCTTTGTTTTCACATAAATGAAATTGCATTATTTATACTCTTAAACCTTTTTCTTTTAATGTGTCTTACAGATCTTTTTCACGTTGACCTATACACTCATCTTTTTAATGACAGCATAATATTCTACTGAATGGAATTCTCGGATAATTTACTTAACTTATGATCTTGAAGCACATCTAGGTGGTTTCCAAGTTTTTTGGTTTGCTTCTTAGTTTTGCTTTAACAAAAAAATTATTACAGTAACTATTTTTATAAAAGTATCTTGGTTTACTTTTGGGGATCTATGTAATTAGTGGAACTTCTGGGCCAATATATATGTACGACTTTTTTTTTTTTTACATATGGACTTGCTTTCCAGAAAGGTTCTACACTTTGTGACCCTACCGGTAGTTTGTAAGATGTTTGTTTCCCTACTTCCTTGTCAGCACAGAGCCATATTTTATAGCAAGTATTAGAAACAAACAAAAACTTGAACTTTTCTGTATCTTCCTTATGTGATTTAAGAAAATAGGAGTACTCTACACGATTTGGATTTTGTTGTTGTTGTTGTTTGTTGTCTTTCTTTTTTAATAGATGTTTTATTTTGGAATATTTTCACATCTACAGGAAAAAAGTAGAGGTAATACAGAAAGTTCTTATATACCCTTCCCAATTGCCCTCATTTTTAGCATCTTCCCATGGCACCCATGGCATATTGTCCAAATTAGATTAGCTTTGGTGCATAACTGTTAGCTACGGACATTATTCAGATTTCACCAGTTTTTCCACTCATGCCCTTTTATTGTCCCAGGATCTAATCCACGATACCTTGAATGTAGCACATTTTGATTTTTTATGAAAGCTTTGTTTCCCCCTTAATGTTACAGTGGTGCGGCATCCTTCTCAAATGACCTTTGTGAGAGGAAAAATTCCCTTACATTTGAGTAGTTTTATTTTAAACGTTTACTCTTACATCCTTCCTACTTCTAAAGTAGATTTCAGTAAAATCACGGTACAGTAAAACCAAACAACTACTAATAACAAGATCAAAACTGGTGCCTGGAAGAAAAGAGTGAGCAAACAGAAAATTGATAGGGAAAACTCAGCCAAGACAAATCTTAGCAATTGAGCATGAATCTGGGGTCTGTGCTTCTTATTAGTGAGAGCCAAATGACACAGATACAGGGGATCTTGTGATACTATTCATCTGGAGTTAGGTAACATACAAATTCTTTCAAAGTTTAAAGATAATTTTTTGCCATTATGCAGAATTTAAGGAGTTTTGGGTCAGTGATTCTTGAGCTAAATGATATTCACTAGATAAATATTTATTAAATCACGTAACAAATCCACATAATTTTGTTCCCTGCCTTCTGTTTGTAAAGAGCTCCCCTTTGCTTAGTTGCGTCCTATTTACCCCTCTCTGTTCAAGATGGAACTTGGATGGGTTTGGGGTATACGATCCTAGTAGCCATAGGGAGTATTTTCAGTCCTGGGTCTAAGGACATAAGCCTTGCTTAGGACAGGAACTTGTGGTCTCCCTTCTTTCTGTCCCTCTTGCTAGAGGAGTGGAGACTGGACTGTGTGCTGCTTTTGAGCTTTAGAAAGCAGACAAACAGATGGCCTCCTCAATCCCATCCTGTAGGTGAAATGGTGCGCCAGGCCCGGGTCCTGGCCCAAGCCACCTCAGACCTTGTCAACGCCATGAGGTCAGATGCGGAAGCTGAAATCGACATGGAGAATTCAAAGAAGCTCCTGGCAGCAGCAAAACTCTTGGCTGATTCCACTGCTCGCATGGTGGAAGCTGCAAAGGTATCATGTTGGATCTGTTCTTTTGAAAAGTGAACATTATTAAGAGTTAGGATTTGGAAGGTGCCCTGAAGATAAAGAATGGTCAGCTGAGTGTGCATTTTTGTTGTTTCAAACCTATATGGTTTTGTAACATTTAACCTTGTTCCAGTGGGAAAGGAGAAGGGCATGGGACACGAGAATAACAGTCTTTAAGCGGAGCAGGGCTGACTCAGCTGTGGCCAACACAGTTCCTGCTTAGTGCGCACTCTCTCGCCATTGGGTTATCGCCATCGGCTTATTGCAAATGGTGGTGAATTTAAACTTGAGACCTTGAACAGCAGATTCACTTAGGCCTGTTTTTTGCCCGCAACCTTAGTATTACTTTGCCCTCCATTTGACTTCTCAACTAAACTGTCAAGATTTTACATAGTAGAGTGCTTCCTGCCTCACTGTTCTTCAAATGCCAGTAGCAGTCTTGAATGTTATATAACAGCTTGAATGAAGAGTTAAGAGTCAGCTTTTCTGCTTTTTGACGGTAATGCATTAGCATGATGCTTCTAAAAGCCAGTGATTCTTATCCCAGGGCTCTGTTTCAGAGCCCCCTCCCCCCTTCCCCGCTCCGCCCTGCCCATGAAATCTTACAATGGAACGTGTCTCCATTCCACCCCTCCTGATTCACAAGGTCACTGGTGGGACTGTGCAATTATGTTCCACAAGGGATTCTGATGCCTACCGCTAGGTGAGAACTGTATTAAATGGATAAGGCTGTATTTTTCTATGTTCCATTTTGGTTTTTAGGCAACTAGCATATGTTTGTGGTGGAAATGATAGAAAATGCATATGAATATAAATAAAATAAAAAGCATCTTCAGTTTCATACTCTCAGATAACACGTTTAATGTGTTTCTATGCATGTAAGATTCATTGAAAGTCTCCACATCTTATCCTATCTTCCCAGCCTCCAATAGAATACCTTGTATGTGAATTCTTAATATGTTATGACACACAGTGAATTACGTAGACCTTCCTCGACTGACTCACCCTTGTAGTTCCTGAGGGACTGTGATTTCTTGGAGGTAACACGAATAGGATGAAGAGTAACCCAAGGAGAGGCAGCATCTGAACTTGCTTCCTCTGTCCCCTGAGCCCTGTTTCAGCTGAGAAGTTAGGCCATTAACCATCCCTTTTAGCCAAAAATATATATGACGGTTTCGTGCAGTGGTTAATTTCTTTATGGTTTTTACAAGTTCTGCCCCTTGTATTTCTAAGTCTAAACATAGCTCTTCTTTTTTTTTTTTTTAATTTTGTTAATGTTTGTTTATTTTTGAGAGAGAGGCAGAGTATAACCGGGGGAGGGGCAGAGAGAGGGGGAGACACAGAATTTGAAGCAGGCTCCAGGCTCCAAGCTGTCAATACAGAGTCCAGCACCAGGCTTGAACTTGTGAACCACGAGATCATGACCTGAGCCAAAGTCAGACACGTAACCATCTGGGCCACCCAGGAACCCCTACACATAGCTATTTTAAAGTTTATTTATTTGTTTATTTTGAGAGAGAGGGAGAGAGAGAGAGAGAAAGAGAGAGAGAGAGAGAGAGAAAGCAAGAATGCAAGCACGCAAGCAACTAGGGGAGTGGAGCAGAGGGAGAAAGAGAAAATCCCAAGTAGGCTCCTTGCTCATCGTGGATGCAGAGCTTGATCTCAAGACCAGGATCATGATCTAGGTTGAAATCAAGAGTCGGACCCTTAACTGACTGAGCCACCCAGGTGCCCTTAAACATAGCTATTTTAAGCAAACCTTCACATTCACAAAAAAATGATAGACTGAAAAGAACCTTATTGTAAAATCTAATCAACCCTTGTTTTACAAAGGAGAAAATTAAAACTCAAAAAGATTTTGCCTACCATCACATACTCAAGATTGAGCCAGGGCCAGCGTGCACATTGGTTTCTAGACGCACAACGCTCACCAGACCTTAATGCACCAAGTTACCAGAAATTTGTTTCTTTTAGGTATTTATTTTTAATGATTTATATCAGATGGGACAATGTTAAGTGGTTTCATAAATTCTTGTAGTTAAGTGTGGTGACTTTGTCTTCACGACACTATTTTCATTTGCTGGATTTTGTTCAAAGCTGAAGAACCTGTTATAGTTAGAGCTCCAAGAAATATATTTGATGTGTAGAAAAAAATACATTTCATAATCAGTAACTAAGATTCCAGACCAAGATTAGTACCGCATATCTAATGTACATTCCTCATGAAAGAGACGTTGCTAAGGAAGGATCCAGATGCCCACTTGAGAGTCAAGTGCAGAAATGGTTTTCTGCTGCTCAAAATACCAAAGGAAGGCTCGCATAGGAGTGGTCTAAACACCTGATGACCAAAAGAATAAAATGCTTTTCCTAAACTCGCAAAAGAAGACAAAAGTAGCTGAAACAATCTTTCACATGTGAGATGCAAAAATAGAGGTTTTTTTAGTTACTGAAACACAAAATCAAGGCTACTTAAAGTGGTTACAGTTTGAAAGAGTGGAAGATTCCCTTTGAAGGATTGCCAGAACACTTCTGTCACAGATGTTAAAACTGTTGCAGCCAGGATGAATCCCTATCCCTTTTATAAATAGTTAAAAAACAAACAAACGGGTTCTTGTAAATGGTCAATTTGGCAAGTTGGCCATTTGAAAAATGGAGACATTTGAAAATTGATTTTCAACGATTGGTGAGTTTCTTTCTGTTTTTGTCTCTGCCTTATGAGCAAATATTATCACCCTAAAGTGTTGATGAAAAGAAACTCATTCATCCCTATACATTTAGAACCGGTCACAGAACATCCAGACTGAGAAAAATCTTGATTGCTGCTTCTCTTGCAGGTGGGAGAGGAAGGTTGGATGTGCTTTAAGTCTTGGTTGAATTAGTATGCAGTGAAGTTATATCCTCTTCCTACGTTACCTTTAGTCTTTTCCCTACTTCAGAATCCCACCCATCCAAATAAAATCCATTTTGAGGGGCCTGGGTGGCTCAGTCGGTTAAGTGTCTGACTCCCGATCTCAGGTCATGATCTCGCTGTTCATGGGATCAAGCCCCACGTTGGGCGCAATGCTGAGCACTGGGCCTGCTTGGGAGTCTCTCTCCCTGTCTCTCTGCCCCTCCTTCAAAATAAATAAACTTTAAAAATAAATAAAATCCATTTGCATTCCTCAGACACTTGAACCTACAGCAACACAGGGTGGCCATGGGCTGTGCATGGTGCCTTTCTCTTGCCCTGCCATGATTATTACTTAAGTATAGTTGAGTACCATTTCTCCTTTGCTATACTTTCCAACTCAGTCTTTCTAGGCATGGTCTTTCCTGAACAACATTTCCTTATAGTATTGGGGATGGCATTCCCAGTCCCCCTGGTCCCTCTCCCCCTTCCCCTGTGTGTATATTCTCAGCCTGTTCACATAAACCCAGTGCCACAAGACAGGAAAATCTTTCCATAGTGACAAGCGTCTGTCCTGCCAGTTAATATAAAATTCTCCCCGAGCGATTGGGACATGGGGGAGATTTATGTTAACACCTTTTAAACCATAGATAGCTGACCACAAGTCAATTTACGTGGATGGCCAAGGCTATGATCTCAAGTGTTTAATTTTTACCATTGGATTTCTGCTGTTTACTGGTACAGCTTTGAAACATCCCCAGTAGATTTTTTTGTCGTTAGGAGATGAACATCTTTATTGTAAAGATACTGCTCGAAGCATTTGCTTTCTCTTCCAGATCTTTTGTGTTACCGGGAAAAAGTAAAATTCAAGGCATGAGTTCAGCATCTGTGGCGTGCTGTCCTCTGGACCTCTCAGAATCTCTGTTTTCTCCTTCTCAGGGGGCTGCGGCCAATCCTGAGAATGAAGACCAGCAGCAGAGACTGAGAGAAGCTGCGGAAGGTCTCCGTGTGGCAACCAACGCCGCTGCCCAGAATGCTATCAAGAAAAAAATTGTCAACAGATTGGAGGTGGGTAAAGAGGCTGGTTTCTTAGAATGTCTATTTTAGATTGCCAAGAGTTATCTGAAAGAATAACATGGGGCGCCTGGGTGGCTCAGTCGGTTGAGCATCTGACTCCATAGTGGGTCATCATCTCACAGTTTGTGAGTTCGAGCCCTGTGTAGGGCTCTGTGCTGACAGCTCGGAGCCTGGAGCCTGCTTCGGGTTCTGTGTCTCCCTCTCTCTCTGCCCCTCCCCAGCTTGCTCACGCTCTCTCGCGCTCTCTCTCTCTCTCTCTCTCTCTCTCAAAAATGAACATTTAAAAAATTTTTTAAAGAAAGAATAACCAAATTAATAAGGCATTGCCCATATAAAAGAGGCTAAATCAAGATTGACGATCTAGTTTATTGGTTAAGGGACTTAGAAACAATGTGAAATGTTGGTTTAGGCACCTGGTACATTTAGGTTCAATGGCACACTAAGGGTATATTCGAGAAACAACTTCAGCTCATGTTCTCAGTAAGCAAAGCCTTTTCTGAGTTGAACATTCTTTTTTTTTTTTTTAATGTTTATTTATTTTTTGAGAGAGAGACAGAGCATGAGCCAGGGAGGGGCAGAGGGAGAGAAGGAGACACAGAATCCAAAGCAGGCTCCAGGCTCT